AATTATTGCCTTAACCGAGTGAAAGATTGGGCACGAAAAGTACGATCCGTAAAGCCATTTCACAGTTCGTACGGACCGTACGATCCGTACGGATCGACAAACTTTTCTGCCCTGACTTGAACACAACATCGCTATCGAACAAAGTAGGTTCACGATCCGTAAACTCATTTTCACGAATCGTACGGTTCGTACGGTCCGTAAAGCCATTTCACAGTTTGTACGGACCGTACGATCCGTACGGATCGACAAACTTTTCTGCACTGACTTAAACACACCATCGCCATCGACAAAGTAGATTCACGATCCGTAAATCATCTTCACGAACCGTACGGATCGTACGGTCCGTAAAGCCATTTCACAGTTCGTACGGACCGTACGATCCGTACGGATCGACAAACTTTTATGCACTGACTTAAGCACAACATCGCCATCGACAAAGTAGGTTCACGATCCGTAAATCATCTTCACGAACCGTACGGATCGTACGGTCCGTAAAGCCATTTCACAGTTCGTACGGACCGTACGGATTGTGTTCAATGTTTTACCATCTTTACGATCCGTATGCGTTCGACAGTATTGGACAACCGTCTTCTATATGGATCTTTATTCTATGCTCTCACTTTACTTGGCGGTGAATAAAGGCCCATCTATACAACGTGGGCGAGTTGTGTACATGGTTTACACATCATGAGTTGTGTGCATGATTTTCCATCGACAACGTGGGCGACTTGTGTGCATGATTTACACATCACAACTGACAAGTTGCAAATATGTTGCATTCGACAACTTTACGCAAAAATTGTGTAGTGTAAATCGGCCTGTAAACCATTACAGATGAACAGGAATAGTGGCGTCAGCAGTTGTTTTCATACGCCTTTAATTGAATTATAACTCTTTCACCGTGCCTAGAAACAATCATTCGTTTAAAACCACTGATCGTAAAATTAGGACGATCTATATTCAATGCATACGACATACGTGGAAATGAAGCAAAGGGCAGATATATAATGGCGCATTTCAGAGAATGTCTTAACTTTTTTTGTTTTTGCTGGGGAAGGGTATGGACGTTGTCTGAAACGAAATTGGTCACCGGTGGCCTCTCTCACTTAACTTGCAATTGGCAGTGAATAAAGGCCCATCTAATCCATGCAAATAGTCGAATGCGATCCTTATCCGGGCGTATCTACTCGACATTTTAATTTTCGCCATAACGCCAATTTACGCTACACATGCAACTTTTGCCCAAAATTGTCGCATGCAACCTGCTTACAATTTGAATTGTAGCTAATGTGTAAGACAAGCACACAACTCACCTACGACAACGTGGGTGTGTTGTGTGCATGATTTACACAGTGTCCTGTGAGGTGAGTTGTGTGCTTGTTTTACACATTAGCCACAATTGCGACAATTTTACGCAAAAATTGTGTGGTGTAAATCGGCCTGTAAACATTGCTGACGAACAAGAATAGTGGGGTCAGCAGTCGTTTTCATACGTCAGAATGACAATCGTATACGACTAATTAACCTTAAAAAATGAGGTTACACCAAAATAGCTGCATCTCCTTCCAAACATTCAAGAACTTATTGAAAAAAAAAAATTAAACCAGCCTCTCTTCTAATTACAAAATATCCTGGCATTGTTTAGCACATGCTTCAATTTATTTATCATTACTTACAATTTGGTTGTTTTTCACACAACTGCTGAATAGTCATGTTCGGTAATGACGTTATGTTTTCTCTCCACTCGTGTAGGTGATCCAGACTTGTGGTATTTATCTCCACCACTGAATTGAAAAATAATGGAATTTAACAAAACTACGAAGAGAAAAATACCTTCTCGCAAAACAAAATATTCCCCATTCTATCTGAAGTACTTTTAATCTTTTCCAACTTGCTTAACTCATCGCATCTTAACTCATCATCAAAATTATTAACCGGCTATTGTTCAGTTTTGCCAATTTATCACAAACAAAATTAAGATATAGTAAACAAGTCGCTTGCATGCATGCTTTGATCACAAAGGGAATGTTGAGAGAATACAAGAGAAGTGTGTAAAATATCTAGTTTTGGTATTCGTGTTCAAGTATTTCTTGCTTTTGCTAAAATTTGTCAAGACAAAAACAAATTTGACGAATGCCAAGCCGGTTAATTTTACACGTAGAACTATAGATACTACTGCTTTTAAAGATGCTTAAACGGGATTCATACCTACTGTCCCGTTTTCTGTAGAGTCAAACAATTCATGAATCTTGCATGATTTGATATGTCTAATTAATTCCTTGGTTGCGTTGGACAGTGCTCGTTCACAACCGCGTTTCTTAACAAAATATAAAGCCGTACATCGAAATTAGTATAAAAAATTTTAATCTTATAAAAGATTAGATAGCAACAACAACGACAAAGACAAAAATAGCACACAACAACAACTAACAACAAGAAGCAGCAGCAACAGCAAAAACAACCTAATACGACAACTAGCAACAACAACCAACATGCAACAACAACAACAACAACAACAACAACCAACATGCAACCACAACAACAACCAACATGCAACAACAACAACAACCAACATGCAATAATAACTACAACCAGCATGCAACAACAACAACAACAACAACTAACATGCAACAACAACAACAACAACCAACATGCAATAACAACAACAACCAACATGCAGGAACAACAACAACAACAACAACCAACATGCAACAACAACCAACATGTAACAACAACAACAACCAACATGCAACAACAACAAAAATCAATAGGTCCAACATGCAACAACAACAACAACAACCAACATGCAATAACAAATACAACCAGCATGCAACAACAACAACAACAACAACAACAACCAACATGCAACAACAACAACAACAACAACAACAACAACAACCAACATGCAACAACAACAACAACCAACATGCAACAACAACAACAACCAACATGCAACAACAACAACAACCAACATGTAACAACAACAACCAACATGCAACAGCAACAATAATCAACAGGTCCAACATGCAACAACAACAACAACCAACATGCAACAACACCAACAACCAATATGCAACAACAACAACAACAACAACCAACATGCAACAACAACAACAACCAACATGCAACAACAACAACAACCAACATGCAATAACAACTACAACTAGCATGCAACAACAACAACAACCAACAACAACAACAATCAACAGGTCCAACATGCAACAACAACAACAACCAACATGCAACAACAACAACAACAAATAAATGCAACAACAACAACAAACAACAACAACAACAACAACAACAACAAACAACAACAACAAACAACATGCAACAACAACAACAAACAACATGCAACAACAACAACAAACAGCATGCAACAACATGCAACAACATGCAACAACAAACAACAACAAACAACATGAAACAAACAACATGAAACAAACAACAACAAACAACATGCAACAAACAACAACAAACAACATGCAACAAACAACAACAAACAACATGCAACAAACAACAACAAACCACATGCAACAAACAACAACGAACAACATGCAACAACTTGCAACATGCAACAACATTCAACATGCAACAACATGCAACGTGCAACAGCATGTAACAACATGCAACAACAACAACATGCAAGAACATACAACACCAACATGCAACAACATGCAACAACAACATGCAACAACAACATGTAACAACAACATGCAAGAACAACATGCAACAACATACAACACCAACATACAACAACATGCAACAACAACATGCAACAACAACATGAAACAACAACATGAAACCACAAGCAACAACCACATGCAACAACATGCAACAACATGCAACAACAACAACAACCAACATGCAACAACAACAACAACCAACATGCAACAACAACAACAACAACAACAATCAACAGGTCCAACATGCAACAACAACAACAGCCAACATGCTTGTTGCATGCAACAACAACATGCAACAACAACATGCAACAACAACATGCAAAGACAAAAATAGCACACAACAACTAACAACAAGAAGCAGCAGCAACAGCAAAACCAACCTAATACGACAACTAGCAACAACAACCAACATGCAACAACAACAACAACAACAACAACAACAGCAACAACAACAACAACAACAACAACAACAACAACAACAACAACAACAACAACAACAACAACAACAAC